GATGTGGCCGAGTTGAAAATCTATATTAGCCGTCAGGTGACAGCTATTACATATTTCAATACATGATTGTAAACCTTTTGATGGGTGTAATGATTCCTTAAAAAAGCTACCAAAAACACCGAAAAAAAAGGGGGGGGGGGGGGGGCCTGTTATATACAAATTTTTTCATATTATGTATGCCAACCCTTTTTTAAGCATGAAAATCTTTACTTGGAAATTTTAACCCTAGATTTAATTATTTCCTTTAATGTATTTCTTATAATAAAAACTCTTCTTACCATTTTAAAATTTTTTTTCACACAAAAAATGGGAAGATTTACTGTTAACAACAACTACATTTTTGGAAATAAAAAATTGTATAAAAAATTTTTAAACCCCCATTAAATAAGGGGCATATTAGACGGGCCATTTTGGCCCACACATTGGACGGGTGAGGGCCATTTGTTTATTTTTGGGGAACATCAAAAAAAAAATCAAACATTACCGCATTTTTGACCTTTTTTTAAAGGGTGCTTTTCATTGGGGAAAGAAAATAAAATCTTATCTTTTTCTGTAATAAAGTGGACCCCCGCTACCGACCCCCTTCCCAAAAAAGGACAATCCGCATCCCCGGACCTTTGATCGCAAAAATTTTTTCCCTTTCCATACCGCCCAAAAAACCCGCTAAAGCCCCCTTTCCCGCCGAAAACCGCCCCAATGTGGGGCCTGACCCCAACCTCAATTTCCGCCGGGGCATTGTTTACCACCAGCCTCCGGGGTAACATTCAAGCATACAATGGGAATTTTTCGAATTATTACAGTTTTTTCGGTGCTGTTTCGGGAAAATTTAATGCCCATGGGCCCCAAAAAAAGCTTCTAGTTCCAACCCCTAAGCAAAAAGGGGTTAAAAATTGCAATAGGGATGAAGAAAGGATTAAATTGATAAGTATAAAAAGGGAGGGGCGTTTTAAAACCGACCGGGTTTCGGGTTTTGTACAAAAACCCCAAAAAATCAACCATCTCTACTATTGGGGGCCAACAAAAAGGGCAAATAAAGGAAGCTGTTTTTCCCAAAAGGTTTAACTGTTTTTTCGAAACAAAGATCGCAAGTAAAAGGGAAGATTTGAGAGACTCTTTTTGGGTTTTGGATAAAAAAAAAAACAGTTTAGCAGGAGATAGAATCTCTCAAGCGATCATAAGCGAAAAGGCAAGGAAGTTTGCAGGGGAAATTTAAAATTAAAAAAACCTGCAACTATGATGTTTTTGAGTAAATTTTTAAGGCCAAAAAGGGTTGGTTTGAGAGATTTAAGAAGCGAGGGGCAACAAAAGGGGAAATACGGCATGGTGGGGCTGCCGGGTTCGGACCACAAAGCCCCTAAAAAATATGGGGCAGGAATTAAAGGGAGTACATAGAAACTGAAGGACTAAAACCTAAAAAGGGGTTTTAATTGGTGAAACGGGCCTGTTCTGGAAGAAAATCCCAAACCCGGCCCAATTTTTACTCAGGGGAAAAAGGGCACTCCCAGGCCCAAACCTATGAAAGACAGGCTTACTTTGTTGATTTTGGGCCCAATGCTAGTGTGTTTGCAAATTTTAACCCTTTATTAGTGAAACACTTTTAAAACTCCCAAGCTTTCCGGGCAAAAAAATTTCCCCAAAGGGAAAATTTTGTGTGTGCTGGGGAGATAAAAACAGAAAAGGCGGGTCACTGGGGACTTTTTCAAAAACCCGGGTTTTTACACCATCCCATTTGCCCCCAATGTCAAAGATTACCTAACTAAAAAAGAAATTAAACTTAAGTGCCTCCTGTGTTAAAAAATAGCCCGGGGTCATCCTACAAAACGTGGCAGAGCGACTTTAGGGGGACTTTGAGCTTCATTAAGGTGAAGTTTTTTCCCCTCCTAATCCCAACTCCTCTCCTGCAGCCCATGGCCAGCAGGTTTTTGGGAAAACCCTTCAAAGAAACTGTACACAAAAGCTTTTTTTTTGAAAGGGGGCTTTGTATTGCCCTCAGAAACTCAACTGACTCTAAAAAATTTTTTGGGGGGGAGATCCATTTTAAAACCCTTTCAATTGTATAAACCTTATGGGAAGGTTTGGGGGGGAGTGACTAAAAAAGCCCCTTGCCCTCTGTTTGGAAGGGAAACTGGGGGCCAGAATGTTTTAGAAAAAAAGGGATTTTAAAGGGGTTTTTGAGGCAACCCTGAGAGGAAAACCAGTTGGGGAAATCAATTGTGGCTTTGGGGGGGAAAAGGCCCCCCCCTTGGGGGTTGGAGTTTTAGTGGGAGGAGTGGAAGAGTTGGGGGAGGAGGCAATGAAGAACTAACCACTAAATAGCAAATAATAAAATTAAAAGGCAAGGGCCCAAACCCTTTGGGGAAACGGGTTTTCAAAGGGGGGGGAGAGAAAAATTAAAGGGAAATTTGGGCCAACTTCAAAGATTAAGGAAATGGGGCAAAATGGCTTGAAGTGAAAACCCTTTTTTTTTGATAAAAAATCACCCTCAAAACACTTGCAAGCCCCTGCTGGGGACTGTTACAATGACAAAAGTTTTTGAACCACTTTAGGAAAAAAATCCCTAAAGGAACGAGAGGTACAGGGGCCCCAAAGGACAGATATGTTTGGGCGAAAGAACCCAGTGACTCTGAAGCTGGTTCCTAGTGGCATTTAAAAAAAGGGAAAGGGAAAATAACCCCCGAAAAGGACTCGAAAACCTCAAGTCTTAATAAAAGGGGGTTCCCCCTTTTAAACACTAACCCCTCTCTCTCCCCTCCTCCCATCCCCCTCATCCTCACCAATTTTTCAATAAAATAAGTGCCCTGTAAATTTTGGGATTTCCTTTTTTCAGTTTGTGTGTCTAAAATTAACATTTTTATGTGGTAAAAAAAAATTTTTTTTTTTTATTTCTTTTTTGGGGGGTTTTTTGCACGGATTTAATTTTTTTTTCCATTATTTCCTTTTGGGGGAAAATTCATTCACATCCGAACATTTTTGCATAACACCACCCTCTTGCACGGATTAAAAGGGCCCCTAAAAGCGGGGCCAAATGTAATCTTTTTCCCTTCTAAACAAAAAGAAACCAAAAAAAAAGGGGGACAAAAAACCATAAAAAAACCCAAAAAAATATACAGTGGGGGAAACCCCGACTAAAGCTATTTAAACCGTTTCCTGAGACTCATCGTTAGTCAAAATAATCTTAGTCAAGTTAATTTTCCCCCAAAAAATAATGGAAATCAAATTAATCCTGGGAAACACCCAAAAGGGAAAAAAAAAAAAAAAAATTTTAAAAAATGAAATATTAAAATTTAATACACACAAACTTTAAGAAGACATGCACATTACATGACCTTACCCTTTTTTGAAGGGTCTGGTGGGTGATTGATGGGATGGGAAAAGGGGGGTTGTGTTGATTCTTAGTGTTTAGAAGGGGAATCCCCCCTTTCCCTTAAGGGGGCTTTGAGGGGGGAAGTCCTTTTTTCCCGGGGGTTTCTTCCTTCTTTTAAAGCCACTAGGGCCAGCTTTTAAGCCCCTGGACCCCCTGTCCACAATTATTCCTGCCCATAAAAGGGCCCTTTCCCCCCTTCCTTTATACATTCCTAACATGTATCACAACATTGTCAGTGTCACCAAAAAACCCCTTTTTTTCAGGTTTTAGTCCCCTTTACTGTCCATGTGCTCCTTGAATTCCTGCACATATTTTTCAAACTGCTTTTTGGTCGAAACTGGCAGCCTCACCATGCCTTATCACCAAAGTATGCCACTAAAAATTCTTAAAATTTTCAAACCAAAACCCTTTGGGTGGCCTTAAATTCACTCACAAACACCACTAGTTGCTGGCATTTTTTTTAATTAAAACGTCATGCAACTTTCCCAGCCTTTTCACATATGACGCTTGAGAGATGTTTTTCTCTGCTACGGTTTTTTTTGTTTTATTTCCCTTTCCAATTTAAAAGTCTCTCAAAACCCTTCCCATAAATTTTCGAACTTTAGTTTTGAAAACATAGTTGCACCTTTTGGGAAAACAAACTTCCCCTTTATTGCCGTTTTCTTGGCCCCCAATAAGGGGATGGTTTTTTTGGGGTTTTTTTTACAGCCTGGCCAGCTCGGGGACATGCAATTTTCCCCTTTCATACTTACAAATGATCCCCTTTTTTTCCCTATCCCTAGTAATTTTTCACCCTTTTGCGTAAGGGGTTGGGACTAAAGCTTTCTTGGGGCCCCTGGTGACTTTTTTTTGCAGGTCAAAAACACTAAAAAGGCTGTGATAAATATGAAATTTTCCCATTTTATCTTGGAACACCGCGGTGGGTGGCTGGCTTTTAAACCTGGCCAAATTTGGAAAAGGGGTCTCAGACGGAAGGAAAAGTGTTGGTCGAGTTTTTTAGCGCTTAAAACGAGGCAAAATTTTTGGGGGGATAAAATGTATCGCTAGTCAGATTTATCGTTAATCGATGCCATCGCTGGTCGAGGGTCCACTGTATACCGCTAAGGGGAGGCTAATGGCTGATAAGTGAACTCTATTATTTATGGTCTGATTTCTTTCAATTTTGGTGTACGTTAAGAAGCATCTTTCCATCATACATTGCCCAAGTTTCAATAAGATAGTCCAACAAACAAATGTGATCCAATTTCCTAGATCAAGAGCAAGAGCCCCTCACCAGCATCAAGGAACCTCCCTTGAGTCCTGCTTGCATCTGGAAATTTCCCTCGCATCTGGAAGCAAAAAATCGACTGATCGACTGCTTGCATCTGGAAAAACTTGCACGTGGATGCGCTCATTAGCATACGTTCCAGTGTATACCTATGAGATACCACTGACCAGTTTCAAGAGTTTTCCTACTTTTGCAGTTCAGCCTGAGGCCAAGCTTTTCTGATGACTCCCTGATCAACTAAGCTGTCATCACTATTAATGAAAGTTGTGATAAGCATGTGACTACTGCTTTATAACCATCATGTAAGCTATGCAATATTATTTAAAACACTCCAGTGTTTACTACAAAAGTGAGGGATAATTTACTAACCCTGGTAGTAAGAATACTGCAAATAATTAAAATATGAGTAAAAGAAGTCATCCTTAATTTCCCCAAAGAGATTGCTGAGCTGCCAGGTGCATCTTCTCTTACAGCGGAGAGTGAAAGTGTAGTGGTCTGCAAGGAAACAATCTATTTGTAAATATATCAAGGTAATACTGACCTCAACTAGCTCCAGAAACTACTAATCAATTTTAATTTGATAAAACAGCCCTAAGACAAATAATTTTATCTTAGAATATACCAAAATTATTACTAATGAAAAAAAAATTATATTTATAAATGTTACTACAGTATTATGAAAACAAAAAATGTCATTGCAAATCTAGACCTAAATTCATTTTTCATTATACAGTGGAACCCCAAGTTTTGTACGCTTCGAGCGGTACTAAACACGAGGCACAGTTTCGTACTGTGCCCTGGGTTTAGTACCGCTTACAAGACCTGTCCACCTGCCCACGCCTGCCAGTGTCCCCCGTGCAGGCACTGTGAACCAGTCAGGCTTTGTTTATGCTTGAGTGAACACTAACCTGCATGTTCATTCAAACATTTCACAATTAATTCATTGTGTTTGGAGGTGGTTTATTAAGTGCAACTGTGAAATAAGCTACCATGGGCCCAAAGAAACTTCCTAGTGGCACCCCTGTGGTAAAGAAAGTGAGAAACATCATAGAAGTGAAGAAGGAGATAGTACAAAAATAGGAGAGTGGTGTGCGACTTGTGGAGCTTGCCAGGATATATGGCAAAAGCAAATCAACAATCACTTCTATCCTGATGAAGAGAAAAGAAATCAAGGAAGCTGATGTTGCAAAAGGTGTTGATATGCTAACCAAAAATAGACTAAAATAGTCAAAGACGTTGAGAAGTTGTTGCTGGTTTGGACTGACACTAAACAGAGAGCGGGTGATAGTGTCTCAGAGTTGATCATTTGTGAAAAGGCAAGGCAGTTGCATGAAGATCTCATAAAGAAACTGACTGGAACGAGTGCTGCTATCAGTGACTTTAAGGCCAGCAGAGGCTGGTTTGACAAATTTAGGAAGCGTAGTGGCATACACAGTGTTGCAAGGCATGGTGATGCTGCCAGTTCTGACAAATTGGCAGCTGAAAAATATGTGAGTGAATTCAAGGGGTACATAGAGACTGAAAAATTCAAACCCCAACACGTGTTCAATTGTGACAAAAGAGGCCTGTTTTGGAAGAAAATGCCAAAGAGGATCTACATAATGCAGGAGGAAAAGGCACTGCCAGGACATAAGCCTATGAAAGACAGGCTAACTCTCTTGTTCTATGCTAATGCTAGTGGAGATTTTAAAGTGAAGCCTTTACTGATGTATCACTCAGAAAATCCCAGAGAGTTCAAGAAAAACAATGTCATCAAGAATAGATTGTGTGTGTTTTGGAAAGCTAATAATAAGGCATAGGTCCCAAGGCAAATTTTCAAAGAGTGGGTCCATGAAGAGCTTGGCCCCAGTGTGAAAAAATACCTCCTGGAAAATAATTTGCCACTCAAGTGGCAATGCTACTGGCAATGCTCCTGCACATCATCCAAACTTGGTAGACCTATTGTCTAGAGAATTCAGTTTCATCACAGTGAAGTTCTTGCTTCCTAATACTACTCTTCTCCTCCAGTCCATGGACCAGTAGGTCATTTCTAAATTCAAAAAACTCTACACCAAAGCAGTGTTTCAAAAGTGCTTTGAGGTGGCCTCAGACACTCAGTTGACCTTAAGAGAGTTCTGGAGGAATCACTTCAATATCTATAACTGAATAAGCCTTATAGGTAAGGCTTGGGAGGGAGTGACTTCCAGGACTTTTAACTCTGTTTGGAGACAATTGTGGCTAGACTGTGTCCAAAAGAGGGATTTTGAAGAGTTTTAGGCTGACTCTGACCCTGCTGACCCTCTGCCTGTTGTGGAAGGTATTGTTGCATTGGGGAAGTCCATGGGGTTGGAGGTGAGTGGCGAGGATGTAGTAGAGTTGGTGGATGGCCACAGGGAAGAGCTAACCACTGAAGAGCTGCAAGAGCTTCATCTGGAACAGCATTAGACCACAGCTGAGGAACTTGCTTCAAAGGAGAGGAAGAGGAAGTGGATGAGGTGCCCTCTTCACAGATTAAGGAGATATGTGCAGTGTGGAATAGGGTGCAGGCAATTGTTGAAAAATATCACCCTCACAAAGCTGAAAAAAGCTATCTCTGCAACAAGTTCAGTGACAGAACCATGTCCCATTTTAGAGAAATCTTAAAGAGGCACCAGAGACAGAGGACTGTGGACAGTTATTTTGTGAGACAGGGGTCCAGTGACTCTCAAGCTGGTCCTAGTGGTATTAAAAGACAAAGAAGGGAAGTAACTCCAGATAAAGACTTGTTACCTAAAGTCTTTATGGAAGGGGATTCCCCTTCCAAACAATAAGTACTCTCTCACTCCTCCCTATCTTCCAGATGCCAGCAACAGCCTTCAATAAAGGTAAGTAAATGTTATTTTAAATGTTTATTTAAATGTTAATTTATCTATTGTATTAATAATTTAAGTATTATATATATATATATATATATATATATATATATATATATATATATATATATATATATATATATATATATATATATATATATATACTTATCTGTGTTGTGTGTATGTAAAACTATAATTATTCTTTAAAAAAAGGTATTTTTTTGTGAATATTTTTGTGAGTCTGGAATGGATTAATTGTATTTACATTATTTCTTATGGGAAATATTGCTTCGACACTAGTACATTTCGAGATTAGTACACTAGCTCCTGGAATGGATTAAGTATGAAACTCGAGGTACCACAATATATACAGTGGAACCTTGGTTTTTGCCATTAATTTATTCCAGAAAGTCTGACAAAAACCAAATTCAATGAAAATGAAGTAATATTTTCCATAAGAAATAAAGTAAATCCAATTAATCTGTTCCAGACACCCAAAAGTATTAACAAAAAATACATTTTATAGAGAATAACTATAGTCTTACATAAAGAAAACAATGAGAAATAAATATAAAGGACTAATGAAATTGATAAATGAACATTTAACATCACTTTTACTTTCACTGAAGACTTGTTGACATATGGAAGACGGCAAGGAGGGGAGAGGGAGGAGGAGAAGTTACTGTTTGGAAGGGAAATCCCCCTCCATAAGGACTTCAGGTATCAACGCCCTATCCGGGGTTACTTCCCTTCTTTGTCTTTTACTGGCACTGGACCCATTTCAAACGAAAAATCTGTCCAGTGTTTCTGGTGTCTTTTTAAGAGCTGCCTAAAATGGAACAAGGCATTGTCATTGAACATGTTGCAGATATGGCTTGCAACAGCTTTGATAGGGTGATACTTCTCCACAAAACTTTACAACTCATCCCACTTTGCACACACATGCTCTTAATCACTGAATAAGGCACATTCTCCCCTCTCTCTTCCTCCTCCTCTGAAGCAATTTCCTCAGCTGTGACATGTTGCTGTTTCAGTTGAAGGTGTTGCAGCTCTTCAGTGGTTAGCTCTTCTCTGTGGTCATCCACCAACTCTTCCACATCCTGGCCACTCACATCCAACCCCATGGACTTCCCCAAAGCCACAATAGATTCCACAACAGGCATAGGGTTGTCAGGGTCAGCCTCAAACTCTTCATAATCCTTCTCTAGGTGGCTTATTTAGCAGTCGCACTCAATAAACAAGCACAAAAAACAAAGGATTATTACAAAATGTTTCGGATGAACAAGCAAGGTAATGCTCACTCGACGAGAAACAAAGCCAGACTGACTCAGAATACATGGAATTCTTTGTGTGGGTGTGGGCAGGTGGACACATATGGTACAGTGGACCAATGAAAACCAAGGTGAAAAACGAAAACTGGGACAAAATTTTGATGAAAAAAGTCGTCAAAAACTGAATTCAATGAAAACCAGGGAAAACAAAAACTGAGGTTCCAATGTACTGTCACTATTGTGGAATATTCACCCAAAGGATAAGTGACACTGACTAATAAGCTCACCTCTCATAGCAAAATCTATAATCAGAAGTGTTCAAAGGCAGGGATAAGAAGGTAGCATACTGCACTTCTATGCACAGTATTACTGCTATTTCTTAAGTGTAAGTGGTAATTGAGAGAAACTTAATACTCACTTGCAAGTGAAGAAATGAAGTCTGGGAACCAGCCTTGATCAAATGGGTTTTCGCACAAATGACGACAAGCAGAATAAGCTTCATAAAACAAAGACAGACTCTTTTCCATGTGAGTAATTGTTGCCTTATAGTCCTCATTATTATATGCTACATTACCCAAAATGTATTCTTTACCATACTCCTGAAATTAAAAATTTTATTTAATGATGATTGAAAAAATATAAACCTACATTAATAAAATATATAAAACAATAATTCCTTGGTAGTAGGCTGGTAGACAGAAACCACCCAGGAAAGTACTACCGTCCTGCCATGTGAGTGTAAAATGGAAGCCTGTAATTGTTTTACATGATGGTAGGATTGCTGGTGTCTTTTTTCTGTCTCATAAACATGCAAATTTCAGGTACGTCTTGTTACTTCTACTTACACTTAGGTCACACTACACATACATGTACAAGCATATATACATATATATATGTATATATATACACCCCTCTGGGTTTTCTTCTATTTTCTTTCTAGTTCTTGTTCTTGTTTATTTCCTCTTATCTCCATGGGGAAGTGGAACAGAATTCTTCCTCCGTAAGCCATGCGTGTTGTAAGAGGCGACTAAAATGCTGGGAGCAAGGGGTTACTAACCTCTTCTCCTATGTATATTACTAAATGTAAAAGGAGAAACTTTCGTTTTTCCTTTTGAGCCACTCTGACTCGGTGGGATATGGCCGGTGTGTTGAAAGAAAGAAAGATATATATATATATATATATATATATATATATATTATATATATATATATATATATATATATATATATATATATATATATATATATATATATTTATTTTTATTTATTATCACACCGGCCGATTCCCACCAAGGCAGGGTGGCCCGAAAAAGAAAAACTTTCACCATCATTCACTCCATCACTGTCTTGCCAGAAGGGTGCTTTACACTACAGTTTTTAAACTGCAACATTAACACCCCTCCTTCAGAGTGCAGGCACTGTACTTCCCATCTCCAGGACTCAAGTCCGGCCTGCCGGTTTCCCTGAATCCCTTCATAAATGTTACTTTGCTCACACTCCAACAGCACGTCAAGTATTAAAAACCATTTGTCTCCATTCACTCCTATCAAACACGCTCACGCATGCCTGCTGGAAGTCCAAGCCCCTCGCACACAAAACCTCCTTTACCCCCTCCCTCCAACCTTTCCTAGGCCGACCCCTACCCCGCCTTCCTTCCACTACAGACTGATACACTCTTGAAGTCATTCTGCTTCGCTCCATTCTCTCTACATGTCCGAACCACCTCAACAACCCTTCCTCAGCCCTCTGGACAACAGTTTTGGTAATCCCGCACCTCCTCCTAACTTCCAAACTACAAATTCTCTGCATTATATTCACACCACACATTGCCCTCAGACATGACATCTCCACTGCCTCCAGCCTTCTCCTCGCTGCAACATTCATCACCCACGCTTCACACCCACATAAGAGCGTTGGTAAAACTATACTCTCATACATTCCCCTCTTTGCCTCCAAGGACAAAGTTCTTTATCTCCACAGACTCCTAAGTGCACCACTCACTCTTTTTCCCTCATCAATTCTATGATTCACCTCATCTTTCATAGACCCATCCGCTGACACGTCCACTCCCAAATATCTGAATATGTTCACCTCCTCCATACTCTCTCCCTCCAATCTGATATCCAATCTTTCATCACCTAATCTTTTTGTTATCCTCATAACCTTACTCTTTCCTGTATTCACCTTTAATTTTCTTCTTTTGCACACCCTACCAAATTCATCCACCAATCTCTGCAACTTCTCTTCAGAATCTCCCAAGAGCACAGTGTCATCAGCAAAGAGCAGCTGTGACAACTCCCACTTTGTGTGTGATTCTTTATCTTTTAACTCCCCGCCTCTTGCCAAGACCCTCGCATTTACTTCTCTTACAACCCCATCTATAAATATATTAAACAACCACGGTGACATCACACATCCTTGTCTAAGGCCTACTTTTACTGGGAAATAATTTCCCTCTTCCTACATACTCTAACTTGAGCCTCACTATCCTCGTAAAAACTCTTCACTGCTTTCAGTAACCTACCTCCTACACCATACACTTGCAACATCTGCCACATTGCCCCCCTATCCACCCTGTCATATGCCTTTTCCAAATCCATAAATGCCACAAAGACCTCTTTAGCCTTATCTAAATACTGTTCACTTATATGTTTCACTGTAAACACCTGGTCCACACACCCCCTACCTTTCCTAAAGCCTCCTTGTTCATCTGCTATCCTATTCTCCGTCTTACTCTTAATTCTTTCAATTATAACTCTACCATACACTTTACCAGGTATACTCAACAGACTTATCCCCCTATAATTTTTGCACTCTGACTTAAGAAATCGTAATGACACGATTGCAAATAAACCATACCCCCGGCCGGGATTGAACCCGCGGTCATAGAGTCTCAAAACTCCAGCCCGTCGCGCTAGCCACTAGACCAGCTAGCCACAATAAGATTCATCCAACTAGGTATATTTCTACACCATAGGAAAGTTAGCACAGGCACCTCTGTGACCACAAATGCAAGTTTTTACAGACGAATCTCCAGCTAGCGTGGCCGTGACGAACTCTAGCTCAAGTCCCTTCACTGCCGTCAACATGACTTAAGAAATCGTAATGACACGATTGCAAATAAACCATACCCCCGGCCGGGATTGAACCCGCGGTCATAGAGTCTCAAAACTCCAGCCCGTCGCGCTAGCCACTAGACCAGCTAGCCACAATAAGATTCATCCAACTAGGTATATTTCTACACCATAGGAAAGTTAGCACAGGCACCTCTGTGACCACAAATGCAAGTTTTTACAGACGAATCTCCAGCTAGCGTGGCCGTGACGAACTCTAGCTCAAGTCCCTTCACTGCCGTCAACATGACTTAAGAAATCGTAATGACACGATTGCAAATAAACCATACCCCCGGCCGGGATTGAACCCGCGGTCATAGAGTCTCAAAACTCCAGCCCGTCGCGCTAGCCACTAGACCAGCTAGCCACAATAAGATTCATCCAACTAGGTATATTTCTACACCATAGGAAAGTTAGCACAGGCACCTCTGTGACCACAAATGCAAGTTTTTACAGACGAATCTCCAGCTAGCGTGGCCGTGACGAACTCTAGCTCAAGTCCCTTCACTGCCGTCAACATGACTTAAGAAATCGTAATGACACGATTGCAAATAAACCATACCCCGGCCGGGATTGAACCAGCGGTCATAGAGTCTCAAAACTCCAGCCCGTCGCGCTAGCCACTAGACCAGCTAGCCACAATAAGATTCATCCAACTAGGTATATTTCTACACCATAGGAAAGTTAGCACGGGCCCCTCTGTGACCACAAATGCAAGTTTTTACAGACGAATCTCCAGCTAGCGTGGCCGTGACGAACTCTAGCTCAAGTCCCTTCACTGCCGTCAACATGACTTAAGAAATCGTAATGACACGATTGCAAATAAACCATACCCCCGGCCGGGATTGAACCCGGTCATAGAGTCTCAAAACTCCAGCCCGTCGCGCTAGCCACTAGACCAGCTAGCCACAATAAGATTCATCCAACTAGGTATATTTCTACACCATAGGAAAGTTAGCACAGGCACCTCTGTGACCACAAATGCAAGTTTTTACAGACGAATCTCCAGCTGGAGATTCGTCTGTAAAAACTTGCATTTGTGGTCACAGAGGTGCCTGTGCTAACTTTCCTATGGTGTAGAAATATACCTAGTTGGATGAATCTTATTGTGGCTAGCTGGTCTAGTGGCTAGCGCGACGGGCTGGAGTTTTGAGACTCTATGACCGCGGGTTCAATCCCGGCCGGGGGTATGGTTTATTTTTGCACTCTCTTTTATCCCCTTTGCCTTTATACAAAGGAACTATGCATGCTCTCTGCCAATCCCTAGGTACCTTACCCTCTTCTATACATTTATTAAATAATTGCACCAACCACTCCAAAACTATATCCCCACCTGCTTTTAACATTTCTATCTTTATCCCATCAATCCCGGCTGCCTTACCCCCTTTCATTTTACCTACTGCCTCACGAACTTCCCCCACACTCACAACTGCCTCTTCCTCACTCCTACAAGATGTTATTCCTCCTTGCCCTATACACGAAATCACAGCTTCCCTATCTTCATTAACATTTAACAATTCCTCAAAATATTCCCTCCATCTTCCCAATACCTCTAACTCTCCATTTAATAACTCTCCTCTCCTATTTTTAACTGACAAATCCATTTGTTCTCTAGGCTTTCTTAACTTGTTAATCTCACTCCAAAACTTTTTCTTATTTTCAACAAAATTTGTTGATAAAAACCTCACCCACTCTCTCATTTGCTCTTTTTTTACATTGCTTCACCACTCTCTTTAACCTCTCTCTTTTTCTCCATATACTCTTCCCTCCTTGCATCACTTCTACTTTGTAAAAACTTTTCATATGCTAACTTTTTCTCCCTTACTACTCTCTTTACATCACATTCCACCAATCGCTCCTCTTCCCTCCTGCACCCACTTTCCTGTAACCACAAACTTCTGCTGAACACTCAAACACTACATTTTTAAACCTCCCCCCATACCTCTTCGACCCCATTTGCCTATGCTCTCATTAGCCCATCTATCCTCCAATAGCTGTTTATATCTTACCCTAACTGCCTCCTCTTTTAGTTTATAAACCTTCACCTCTCTCTTCCCTGATGCTTCTATTCTCCTTGTATCCCATCTACCTTTTACTCTCAGTGTAGCTACAACTAGAAAGTGATCTGATATATCTGTGGCCCCTCTATAAACATGTACATCCTGAAGTCTACTCAACAGTCTTTTATCTACCAATACATAATCCAACAAACTACTGTCATTTTTCCCTACATCATATCTTGTATACTTATTTATCCTCTTTTTCTTAAAATATGTATTACCTATAACTAAACCCCTTTCTATACAAAGTTCAATCAAAGGGCTCCCATTATCATTTACACATGGCACCCCAAACTTACCTACCTACCCCCCCCTCCCTCCCTCCTCCCTCCCTCTCTCTCTCTCTCTCTCTCTCTGTCTCTCTCTGTCTCTCTCTCTCTCTCTCTGTCTCTCTCTCTTTGTCTGTCTCTCTCTCTCTCTCTCTCT